CCTTGCAATCACAGAGGCAAATATACCAGGGAAACTTTATAAACCTACTTTGGAGACCTATTAGGAATGCTGCCATTTTGAAATGGCGATGGCCTCCCAGCCGTATTCATCGTACTTCAAGGCCTGGTACTGGAAACAGAAGCAAAGTTTATGAAGAATAATATTATAGCCATTTCTTTTACCTTGCAGGCATAAACAATTATGAAATATCACTACCTAGAAGCATGATAACCGTGGAACGTGTGCTCGTTAATTTGGTTTTCTTAATTTTCAGTTAACTTCATAACATATACGCACATACACACTATATATTAACGTGTGCGTGTGAGTATATATATTTCACCAATATATATCCATTAATATATCAAAACATATTACTCCTTGAATTCAAACCTATAGATTGTGGGTATCAATAGCACATTTTAAGGCAGGGCTGCGTGAATGGCACCCAGGAATTGGCTGAAGTATTATTTGTGACTCCTAAAACCCAATTACAAGAGGTGATGGCCGGGTCTGTCTCTAGTGTAACCGCAAACTAGTGAACCATTTCTGAACATACACGCCAAAACTCTCGCTTAAGTATGGCGGGGAGCGAGGGAGGCCCGAAGGGCACTCTCGGCAGTGGAACCGGTATTAGTAACAAAGTGTTTCCTCTCTGCAGCCGTCTTGCCGTAGGAAAACGAGACAGGTAAGAGTCCATTTAACCGCCTGCCTGCCTGTCTTGTGCTTAGTTCGAGTTACCGCGAGCCTGATGCCTCACGTCTGCTTGAGCCCTAGGCAGTTAGAAAGTGGTATCTCTTTGAGTAATAGAACTATTAAAACCTTTTAGATTGTAGCTCTATTTGATTAATTATATATATATATATATATATATATATATATATATATATATATATATATATATATAATATATATATATATAATATATATGATATATATAGATATATATATATATATATATGCGGAAAATCCACAGAGAAATGTGAAAGGAAGTGAAGTTTTCGGCCTGATTAAAGCCGTTATCAACACCAGACCAGTCTGGTGTTGATAACTGTTTTAATCAGGCCGAAACGTTCACTTCCTTTCACATTTCTCTGTGGATTTTCCGCATAAAAATGATCAGTGTTTTGTGATCGTCAATTGCATATTATATATATATATATATATATATATATATATATATATATATATATATATATATATATATACACATGTATATATATATATATATAATATATATATATATTATATATATATATTATATATATGATGTGTGTGTGTTGCCCCAGGTATTTTAGAGCTCTTGCCTGGCCTCATCATTATTTAGTTCTTAGATATTTACCTTTTATCATCACTGATTTTAAATTTGAAGTTTTTACATCCTATTAGCCTTTGGAAGCTATGTAATATTATTGATCTTTTATTCCGAATATCCTTTTTTATATTATATATATATATATTATATATATAATATATATTTATAAAAATATATATATATAATATATATACATCTATATTTATATATATTTATATAAATATATATTATTATATATTAGATATATATATCTCTAAGTATATATAACTGAAAACTCTCACCCCAGAAGTGACTCGAACCCATACTGCCAGGAGCAACGCAACTGGTATGTACAGGATGCCTTAATTCGCTTGACCATCACGACAGGACATAGATGATCACGACCATCAAGCGGATTAAGGTATCCTGTACATACCAGTTGCGTTGCTCCTGGCAGTATGGGTTCGAGTCACTTCTGGGGTGTGAGTTTTCAGTTGCATATAGTCCTTGGGACCATTCAGGCTTGTTCGCGCATATTATATATATATTATATATATATATATATATATATATATATATATATATATATATATATATATATATATATATATATAATTATATATATTATATATAAATTAATATTACTATACTCGTTATCTAAATTACATGAATATTCAAGAACCTTTTACCGAAAACAATAATCATTTTTCCAACAAGCCAAAAATATTTTTCAGTTATTCAGCTAAATTACCGTGTTTACCCCCGCCACCTTGAGAAGTTCCCCTATTTCTCCCCACAAATCAGTTAAATTGCAGAACTTATCCCCTCGAGGTAGTGATATTAACGGACTTTCCTCATCAGCCAACTAAAGTGCATTGTTTCCCCAGCCAAAAATGTCAGCATATTTATCACATCCCGGCATCAGAGAGGTGAGTATTCTCACTCTAGGAACCGACATCCATATTGGTTAGCACAGTTTAAAACATAATAATGTATAATTTATTCTCTTTATTGAGCTTCACAATAAAAAGTTTAAATTGTTTCGTAATTTTTAAAAAGTTTCCTCTAGCAATAACAGAGCCAGATAACTTAATCTTATAATACGTATTATATAAGTTTTTCTTGCCAAGAAAAACATTTGGGGCTCTCATTATCTTAGAGTACAATATTGGACGAATAAGCAGCGAGACGTCTACAGAAGCGCCCGACTTCGAATTGGTTAGCGAATATGTGCAAGCTGCTAACAACAGACATAGGGACGGCTAATTAAAGCTGCTTGCCTGGAAATCGCTAAACCCTTCAATAAATCAAAGGTGGAAACACATGCTTACATTAGAGAGTTACCTAATATACGATACATCTAGAGTTTCCTTCTTCGCAATCATCTCACCTTTGTCTCCAGACATTTACAGACGAATGGTGGTCCATATAAAGTATTCAGCTTTCTAACTTTTCCTAAACAAATCAATATTGATTAGCTTTATAACGTATAATTTGTCTTTAACAATCTTGGTTATTTACTCTCTTCGCCATAAACTACAGGGTAGTGAAGCTACAGATGTTCCCAGTATTTGCGGGAAAAGAATATTCAGTCTCCCCTCGTATACTGGTTTAACCATTATTATTGCTAAACAGTCTGCTGTTACCACTTGTATTACTACACTACAAATATTGCTGCCACTACTTTATTGTGGCGACGCTTAGTCCTCTACTAGAGTAGATAATTACACGAACCAGAGAAGAAATCTTAAACGATATATCTTCAATCGTAAATCATATCTTTATTTATCCTTTGGGAATGAAACATTAAAACATATTTTTAATAGTGAATCTTTTATCCATTGTTTTCGTTACACTGTGAATGAAGCTAATATGTTTGTAGTATAAAAAATATAGTTTAATTATGTTTCGTAATTTTTAAAAAGTTTCCTCTAGCAATAACAGTCAGGTAACTTAATCAATGTGTATTATTATAAGTTTTTTCTTGCAAAGAAAAACATTTGGGTCTCTCATTGTCTTAAATTTTAAGGGTTCTTAAAATTAATATATTAGAGAACAAACGCCTGTTCGTTTCTTGTGGTGGCTTGGGAGAACAATTTTTCCTCCAAAATAGTTGCTGGATGAATACGAAATGGGCTAAGAGTTAACTTAATAGGTTTATTTAATATATACGTAAATAGCTTACAAAAGGTTTAAGTGTATTTGGTTTCCAAGGATTTAAACGCAATTCCAGCAATTTATTTGAATTAGCAGCAGTTTGTTGTAGATCATCAAGTAGAGGCTGATGGTTTGGGCCAGCGAGTGAAGTGTACATCAATTGGGGGCCGACAGTTTCAGTTTGATTCTGTATTTAATTACGCTTCCATATTTTCCTATTAATGTTGTCATATTTTCACAAGTTTTCATTGATATACGAGCCTATGGCTCTAGCCATTTGGTGAATTACTTGAAAAATGTAACCGGAACGTTCCCGCTTACTTAATCGCTAACGTGATGAATCCGTTAGGCAATAAGAATGAACAGAGTGCAGAGAAGTGGAAGGATATATTACGCCAATAAATATGATATTAAAAATGCTCAATAAAAATGCAATTTCAAGGTATGCAGAAACGTATGTAGGAATGCAGTAATATTTTGTTTCTTTTACGCTTATTAATGCATCCCTTGCCTCTGGTTACTTAGCTGATGAAGCCTAGTTGTAGACTCTAGTTAGCCTAACATAGACAACGCACTCTCCAACAAATAATATTATCGGTTAACACATTTGCAGGAGTTTTTCTTAAAAATATATAACTTTCAAACTTTTTAAGTCTTAGTAACGCCTGATATAAACTGAGACTTCTTTAGACGTATGCCAGTCATTAGATTTAAAGTACAGTTCTGTATTATTATAGCATGGACGTTCCATGAGGACCGACTTGTATTAGGAATGATTTTGATTTACCCAGCACAAAACACTAGCATTATTACTCTTGCATGGACACAGAATACAACCAAGACCTTTTATTTAACACAATCGTATTTATTATCTTGTCAATTAATCAAGGTCCCCAATTATTCTAGCTTAAACATAGTTCCTGTTCCTCCAACGTTCTTGCCCAAGTCTAGTGTACCTGACAATCTGGTCTTCATTATTGTTTTCTGTCCCACAAGAGATAAAATCTCAGATACTCAGTTACCTTAGTTTGAAGTGTGTCCATTATCATAGTTCATCGGTGTGACAAACTTGCCCAATCCTTTACGCTCTTCTAGTCTTTATAATCATCACACTTCATAGTCCCCAATATCGCAAAAAGTAATCCATCGGATTTTCATTCAGTCCTGTCTTAATATTGTCTCAAGCTCAAATCTTCCATTATTTACCTCCTTTCCCTTGCATTCTCCCAAACTCCCCTTTGCATTTTACCCCCCACACTCATCCTCTCCTTTTATCTAACCTTTTTTTCCACCCCTCCCCTTTGCAACCCTGACTTCCTCAGGAGAATGTTAAATACAAGTATCTGAACGTATAAAGTTCGTCTTCCTCAGCTAGCACAAGAACAAGGATTAAGTTTAACGTTCTTTTACATTTTGAAACCGTACAATACAGCCTTCCCTTCTCGAGATATCACAACCGAGCCCTTTAGGTCTCATGTTCAAACGCACGGAATGCACGCAAGTCTTACAATATCACGGCTCAGTTCCAAGACATTGAGAACACGAGATTATCCAGATCTGAAATGAAACATCCCAGGTCTTATATGTAAAATAAAACAGCATGGGTTTAGTGTCTAAGATAACACAGCATGGGCTAAATATCTAAGATAATTCAGCATGGGATAAGCATCTAAGATAGCACAGCATGGGCTCAATATCTAAGATAACTCCACATGTGCTCAGTATCTAAGATAATACTGCATGAGCTCAGTAGTAATGCTATCACTGGTCCCAGATTCAGAAACAACTCAACCTATAGCATATCACAAACAGGCACTAGAGCTCTGATATTATTCCTTACTGAGAATAAAATTTCAGAGCGCGAGTTCCAGAACTTAAAATAACGAGTCAAAAAAATGTAGGACAACACAACACGTGGTCTAGAATTTAAGTTAACTTAACACAAGCTCTGGATTAGATTGTATCACAAGAACCACAGAATCAAATTTCTACTTGGCCACAGACTCCAGCATCACACATCACAGGCTTAAGCCACGAGCTAAAGCAACTAACTAAAGCCGGCGGCTAATTAATTAAATACAACAAATGCTTTAGACCTACAGATAACACTACAGGGATCATTTCCCTTTTGTATAATAGGACACGGTATTATGTATGTGTATGTGTATATATATTATAATTATATATATATATATAATATATGTCGTACCTAGTAGCCAGAACGCACTTCTCAGCCTACTATGCAAGGCCTGATTTGCCTAATAAGCCAAGTTTTCCTGAATTAATATATTTTCTCTAATTTTTTTCTTATGAAATGATAAAGCTACCCATTTCATTATGTATGAGGTCAATTTTTTTTATTGGAGTTAAAATTAACGTAGATATATGACCGAACCTAACCAACCCTACATAACCTAACCTATCTTTATAGGTTAGGTTAGGTATCCGAAAAAGTTAGGTTAGGTAGGTTAGGTTGTCGAAAAACAATTCATAAAAACTTGGCTTATTAGGCAAATCGGGCCTTGCATAGTAGGCTGACAAGTGCGTTCTGGCTACTAGGTACGACATGTGTGTGTGTATATATATATATATATACATACACACCTCTGCAAAGCTCCTGATAAACCCAGCATCCAATATATACCCATCGACCTAGTCACACAATGCGCCTGAACCCTACCTAACCACAATACTGTATGCCGTGTACCATAGTACTCATAATACCCGACACATTCAGCCCCTTGAGTATCGAAATCTATAGGTTTTTCCTATCAGTAGGAAACATGCCATACCCTAAGAAACATCCAAGGCCCTGTACATACCCGGTTAAGTAGACAAACATATCCTATCTGACAGACCCACTGCAAAAGCCACATCCGGCTCCAGGACACTCCTAGTCCTCTTTGAAGTCTCGAATCTAGTAGTATGGCCCTAGTGTTCTGCTCCACCAACCAAGCGTAAATTAAATTTTTAAGGTCAAATTTAACTTAGAAAAGCAACTCCCCAAGTAACAGAGGTCTCCAACCTTTTGTTAAATCAGCTCCAAATGTCTGTCCGGTTTAACACTGTCCCTGTTCCCTACACTAGAGCTAAATTAGCCTCAGGATTTAAACCAGACTGTCGAATTATAGACAGTCAAAGTTAATGAAGATTAACTTTGATTAAGTCAAAGTTAATCCTAAAGATTAAGGAACCCACAAGAGTGAGCTAGTCTCAAGAATTTTTGCCACTAAAGCTAATCGCACCACTGAGCGAGCACTTCCATAACCCTACTCATTACAGTTAGCTCATCTTAGCCCTTCTGGTCCCCAAGTTCCTAACTCCGAGCCCCGAAAACTAGCCAGACCCAGCTCCATGCTCCAAAATTTATCCAGACTTGAAAATTTTGCTAGACCTGGTAGTTAAGTCAGCCCCAGCTCTGATCCCAAAGTCTACGTCATCCCCAACTAATAACAACGAGAGTTAGCCAGCCCTCAGCCTCAAAAGTTAGCCATCTCCCAGCCCCGGGTGTTAGCTATCAATTCCAAAAGTTAGGCAGCTTCCAGCCCCAATAGTTTGCCAGCTCCAGCCGGTACTGACTGGTGTCTTCTCCTGACAGCGAGATCTCTTCGGCCAACTTCCGGGCTCGGGAGAAGCAAATCATCGACGAAATTATCGGCCCGGCCAACTACGACAAGCGAATTCGACCGGCCGGGGCCAACGATACCGGTAAGTCTCGGTACGGGTAAATAAATACACCGCAAACAATGGGTCTCGGTTATCCTATAAGCCTTAGTCGCGTTTACATTTAGCCTAAAACACTGTAAATTTCCTGTTTATCGTTAGGCCCATGTAATCTGGTAAGTCCCAGAATATTAGTAAAATCTGCTGTACTGGTATATTCTGCAATACAACAAAGTCATTGTAAACCGATACATCAAATGCCCCAATATTTGAATATTCAAGTGCTTCTATAAGCTACGTATATTGGTACACAAACATCCTGATATTGAATCATTACTGAAAAATCTAAGTATGTTTGTATTTTGTGGTATACGCAAGATTCTCTGCTCAACAGGCCCAGCCATCGTCCACATCAACATCATGATCCGCAACGTGCAGACCATCTCCGACGTCAAAATGGTGAGTCTTCCCTCCTCTGTCTCAGCTCATGCGTTATTTAACTTCCTGCTTCTTCTCTGATAAATCATACAGAGAGAATGGTATTCTCTCAGTATTGTTAGCATTGAGCATTTGTATTCGTGTATCTAAAGTCACAAGTACACTGTGTCGGGTGCTAACGGATTGAGACTAGCATGTGCAGTTCAGAAACGTGTGTGGTGACATACGACATCTGGTTATACTAGAAGAGAACAGTTTATACAACTATCCTGTATAATCATGGGGGAATGGGGTTTCACCCCAAACTTAGCTGTTGAGTGTAGCAGGTAGCAGCCTGTGTCGCTCAGTTGACCTGACCTGGCCAACGGTCGTTGATAATCTCATTCCACTCCACTCCTCTCCTCTCCTCCCCTCCCCACACCAGTAAGGCCCAAAGTTCAACCAATCAAATGCGTGGGTATGGTTGAAAGAACATTCTGATGGGTGCTCTGTCTGTAGTCTTTTATTTACACGAGTTATGTGTTAGCCCAGCTACTCTAGCCTCAGCTCTTCTTTTCATTCTCTTGGTAGCTGTTTAAGACGCAAGACGTGTGCTCCTTTAAGCTCTAGAGCACCGTCACTCCTGACAGCTGCAAGTACTCATTCCAGACGCCTCCCAATTCATCGACGACAAAAGAGCGCGCTGTATGAATGAAATGTTCTGAGGTGACGCACGAGAAATGCCCCTCATCTTTCGTGCCTATTTATTGCCTGTCTCTACTTCCTCATCACAATCGACTTGAGAATGGTCCAGGACGGACCGAAACGTCGTCGTCCCTTCACATTCTAGTGTGTGGTCTGGTCGTCATAATGGTCTGAGTAAATTGTGTTTATCTTGTGTGCACCACAGACTCGCTAAATTGCAACCCAGTGAGCCTGGCAGACGGTTTTGACCCTGTTTGCTGAGCCCTTCAGAGCAAAACGTCCCAGAGAGTGACGGTCTTGACCCTGCACGTGTTTGTGAATGTATTTTTTCAACACATGCAAGTCTTTATTTCATGCAATTTAATTTCCGGAGCATCATTTTGGAGCTCCAAATTATCATTTTGCATACTGCAGTGGTGTTAGTTAGCCGTTATTGCTGAGGTGGTCATTATTACCAGTGTTTTAATCAGTTTTACGTCACCTAAGTACTTGTTGTGTTAGGTTCAGCTTCTCGGAACAAAAAGTTCCAAGTAGCATGGGCTATGGTGAGCCCGTAGTGGATATACCTGGAACAGGAGCGAGGCTGTGCCTAAGTACTATCACCAAAATACAGTATGAGTAGATTTGTCTATGACCACTCGAGACAATTATCCCATTTTCATGTGGGTATATACATTTTCATTTTAGTTCTAATTTTAATGAATAAATTCATTTGTTAAGCATAGTATTTCAGGAAAACCTTTCTCCCTCATATTGAAAAATTTTGCAGACTAGGTCCCACAAAAGGATCATCTGCCTTTATGACTGGCAGCACATTATAAATTTGACGGTAGCGATCTCTGATCTCCTTGCACTGCCAGATAGAGATCAGACACGACCTATATCTGGCAAAATCTATTCAAGATTTTGCGCTGTTGCTCTGAGCCTTTTACATTGTCGATAACTACTGTGAGCAACTTGCCCACTTGTCCTAGCCTAGTGACTAGGGACTTGCACAACTGTCCTAGCCTAACGACACCTGTCCAAGCCTAGCCTAGGACAGGCTAGGCTTGGCTTGGATTGTGTGTGGTGTGTGTGTTGGATTGTGTGTGGTGTTTAGAAACTTGATTTTGTGTGGTCCAGGTGTGCTAGGATTGACTAGCACACCTGGACCAACGCTGTGTGCAGTGGTGGTCCAACATTAAAGTAATTTTGGACAATCAGTTTTATCTCTATTGCTGTCATGAAGTAGTGTCCCTACCTGTATTGAGAAACAGATGCAATTCATCCTCTGTAACTGTCCTTAGGAAGTTAGTCTCGTGTACCTATCTTGAAGGATGTACATTTTTCATGTATCTGTCCTTAAGAAGTACCTTCCCCTCTGATTGACTGATGAAGATTAAGCCATCCAAGAGGTGTCACAGGCATGAATAGTTTGTAAAACGTAAAACTCTGTACCTCTCCCGAGGAAGTTCTTCTTTGTTACTTTTGTGAAGAGGTACCTTTCCCTTTGTAGCTGTCTAAGTATCCCTATCTCTGTACCTGTCTGAAGTAATCTGTTTCAATGAATTTGTGTTAACAAGTTTCTAGCCTTTTTGTACATGAGTTCATATAACTCGTCCTTCCTCTAAATGCTTTTAAATTTGTGAGCAAGAGATTCAAAGAAACTAACATTTATGGACAATGCAGTATCATTTGCGCATGAATTTTGCGATTTCCTTTAAAATGTTAAACCGAGGAGATCATATTGTGTAAGACATATTTTTCGAAGAATTCCATGACAATTTGCAGATAAAACCGAACACTTTACACGCATTTCCAGAGTTATAATATATCACTGGAAAATATTATCACTCTGATAAACAACATCACAACAGGTCATAACACTCGATCTGTTGTGATGAGCATCATGGAAATGCAAAGTTAAATTAACCTTATAAGCCAAAAAGGTTCTAATAAATATTTTTGTAAAGTTTCTAGAGGAATGTCCCTTCTCTCCTACAGGAATACAGCATCCAGATCACCTTCCGCGAGCAGTGGAAGGACCATCGCCTAACCTTTGACAATATCGGAGGTCAGATACAGTGTTCTCATCTACATACAACCGTCAAAATGGTTGGGTACCATTCCTTCCCCCCGTCCTATCCCAAATCCTTATCCTGACCCCTTCCAAGTATTATATAGTCGTAATGGCTTGGCACTTTCTCCCTGATAGTTCCCTCTAACCGTAGTCAATCCCTTGACAGAATAATTCCTTCCATATAATGATTTCACCGAATTTGGAATTTTTATTCAACATTTACTCTCGTTTAAACCACTTGATATTCTGTAATTTCAGAAACTTGATTTTAAAATATGTTTTGGCAATAATTAGGTTCACTGGTCAATAAAATATCTACAAATAGAATAATATAATTAACTGTATATTATATAGTTCAACCAGCAATTCCATAGGACACAAAATAAAGAACACCAGCATGTGCATGCCAATCAATATATTTCACTCTTTATACCCTTCCAACCCTCCCAAAACCACTCACCATAGCTCTCAATATACACGGCCTAGTTCAAATTACACTTCTGAGTAAACACCATTCATTATTCCTACCAATATACACCATACATCACACAGCTTCAATACAAATCTCCCAAAACACGACACTCAACACGTGTACAAATGACAAACCCATTAAACACCACTCAGAACACAGTACACAACTAATTACAAAAACGTTGGTTTACATAACTCGATGCAAACCAAAAAGTGAACACTATCCAATACACAACGATTCGGCTCACAGGAGCCAGTACACACTTTTTAGCATACACCAGGTAGAGATCTCGTCTCCCCTTCCATCTCCTAACACCACACTACCAGCGGCACACCTCTGTCTTCCCAGGTCGGATCCAGTACCTGACGTTGACTGACACAGACATGGTGTGGATGCCGGACTTGTTCTTCAAGAACGAGAAGGAAGGTCACTTTCACAAGATCATCCTTCCCAATCTTTACATCCGTATCTACCCAGACGGCGGCGTCCTCTACAGTATCAGGTGAGTAGATGGTAGACGGTCTCTTCTGACGGTTTAGTGCCCTACAGTATCAGGGGGAGTAGACGGAAGCCGGCAAACATGGAAATGACGGGTGTATTAGAAAGTGTGGGGAGTGTATGAGAGATTTAGTGGGTAGAACAGAGCGTTGTGGGTACAAGAGAGTATTGGGAGTATATAAGAGTACACTTCATAGGGACACCTATAATTCCCCTGCCCCTTTATTTAGCCACCTGCCACCACCGTGAACATACCATCGAAGTTACCAACTTCGATGGTAACGTGAGAGTCTTACGCGAGATCTCGTATACCAAACGCATCAAATATGATGAATAAGGACTGTCAACACCAGACAAAATCAAACCTCCTCAAACCAAATGTGAACTATGTTCTCGTGAGATATCTGTTGGAACGTACAGGCAGCTGGAGGAGTGTGGAGGATGTTCAGTCAACAGGAGGAGGATGTGTGGCCAATCCGTCCTCTTAAAAATAACGTCACTTTTCGCCTGTATGCGCGCTATGGCCAAATTTGGACGTAATTTGAAATGAAATCGACTCACAAAAGTGACGTTCTGTTTCGTTTTCTATTTGAGTCGTCCGGCGTATGCGCAGAGGTTATAAGAGGACACTTTAAATTAACGTTTTGAAACTTTATGAGAATTTCCTGCCCACCTAACCTATCAGAGGACCCTTAACTTACTGTTGTTGAAAAAAAAATCCCTTATTTATTTTAATTTTTTTTTAATTTTCAAATTACGTCCAAATTCGGCCATACGGGCAAACGGCCAAAAGCGACGTTCTTTTTAAGAGGACAGGTTGGAGGGTGAGGTGCAAGCGGCAGAAGTTGCTGGGAGAGGGTGGGAGAATGGAGAGTGGTCGGTGTGTTGTAGTTATGGAGGAAGGTTTACTAGAATGTTGGTTGTGAGAGTGTCGGGTAGTTGAAGTATGTGTGTATTGGAGTGTAACCTTGTGGGAGTGTTTAAGGAAGATTTGGGTGTAGATAAGATGGGAAAGTGCTGTTATCAGCATGGGAGTCTAGGAATATGAGAGTAGTGGATTGATGGAGTGTGGTTTAGTATTGTGTGATGTTGGCATTTTATGTGTGCGAGTATTATGAAGTTTGCGAACAAGGAGATGGTAAGGAAAGTATTAAAAAGCAAGGTCGAAGAGAGGCTAAAAATGAAGGCACGAAGAACATAATTTTCTCAAATATTCGCAAATCTCTTGAGAACTCTGAGTCTGAGTTGAGCTGAGAGGTCGCTGGATGAGTTCGCGGAAGTGGAAGAGCGCTTGAGCCGTGTAAGAGCTTGAAGAAGTGTACGCACCTACTTGTGCTTGCGGGGGTTGAGCTCAAGCTCTTTGGTCCCACGAATATGTATGTATATGCAAAGGATATGTATGTGTATCTTTTGGTCAGTGTATATATATATGTGTGTGTGTGTGTGTGGGGGGGGGGGGGTTGAAGTGCTGGCGGGTGAGAGGCGTTAGTTCAAGGAAGTACTGAGGCACATGATGAAAAACGAAATGTAAACAACAGAGTAGTGATAAAATTATATAAACACGATTGAAAGTAGAATAATGTTAAGGGACAAGAGAAGGAGAAGGAGGAGGAGAATGATTAAGGAGATGAGGTAGGAGCCCTGCACAAGGAGGCGTCGTGTCACACCCTTATCACTATTTTTTACCAGAATCTCGCTGACGTTGTCCTGTCCGATGGACCTGAAGCTCTTCCCACTAGACCGTCAGCAGTGCCAGCTCCTCATGGCCTCCTGTGAGTATGTTCCCTTCAACGTATTATGCAGATTTTCCGACATTCTATTTTTCATTCTAAAGTATGTTATCTCGCCCTCCAACATGTTATCCGCTCTCTTAACAATTCTCCTTGATGGTATTATCTCTTTCTTTATCATAGCAGTGAATGGAATGTTATCTCTGTTATCCTCATATCATCTCTCCCATTGTCATTGTCTCTCTCTCATCCACATGTTATTTCTTTCACTGTCATAGTATATTCCTCACCCTAACGTTATCTCTCTCGCAATCATAACAAGTGAGATCAAATTGAGTGAGATGCTATGTGAGGGAGATAATATGTTGGGAAGAGAGATACTACGATAGTGAGAGAAATAACATGTGGGTGAGACTATCTACACTATCATAATATCTGCTTCTCACCCTCATGTTAACTCTCTCTCACTCTCATAGTATCTCTTCGCCAGTCTTGCGATAATCACTGGAGCATTTCACTCCTGTCCATCGCCGGAAAGATCCTGACTCATATCCTGCTCACCCGCCTCCTTCAACACCTTGTTCAGGGACTCCTCCCAGAAAGTCAATGCTGATTCCAAGCAGAACACAGAACTGTCGGTATGATATTGGCTGCACTTCAGCTCCAAGAAGAATGCCAAGAGAAACCTAGTTACCTCTTCGTGACTTTCTTCCTGAAGTCATCTCTGCTGGCCGTATCGATGGCCTTGGTCAGGTCGACGATAATGGCGAAGGTTTACTGTTCCGGCAAATTCACTGCGATTATCCGGCAGGTCAACGATGGCATGATGGCGAAAGTACTGAACGATGGAGACAAGTCAAAATGGCCTCCCAGTGACGAAGGGGATGTCAAGGGGCAGAATTGGCCGGCCATCGACAACTTCACCCATCTTGGCACCATACTCACAAGAACGAACATAGACACAATAGTCAAGAACAGGATCGCCAAGGCCAGCGCTGCCTTTGGAAAATTCCATGAGAATGTCTGGGAGCGGAGAGGCCTCAGCCTTACCATCAAACTGAAGGGCTACCGTACAGTGGTACTCACCACCCATATCTACACCAGCGAGATCTGCATTGTCTACAGCAGACACTCCAAACAGCTCAGTCACTATCATGTGAGCAGTCTCCACAAACTCCTCCACATTAGGTGGCAAGACAAAATCCCGGACACAAAGGTAATGGATAGAGCTGGTATTTCCAGCGACTACACCTTCCTATAGGAAACTCAGACCAGATATACAGATTACGTTGTCAGAAAGCCTAACAGCTGAATACTTAAACATCTGTTGTATGAAGAATTATGTCAGGGCACGTATTCTGTTACAGGGGCAGAAGAAACGATTTGATAACAGCCTCAAAGTGACTCGCAAAAACCTGGACATCAACTCCAATACTTTGGAATCGCCATCTTGAAAAGTTAGCACAGAGGTTCGTGCGGCAGATAATATAAGGATTACAGAGGCCCAAGGATAACGTGCCACGAGCAAAGCTAGAGCAACTTCCACCTCTGCAGTAGCAACAACCCTCCCCACCCCCCCACCCCCCACCACATGTGTCCTGTGTGTGGGCGAGCCCTCCGGACCCTGATGGTCTCATCCTCCATCAATTAAAACACAGCCACCGACCTTCGACCTGATACATTGAAGTCATGGTTGTCTTCGACTCTGATGGAAGAACATCAGTACCTCTCTCACCTACATGTTATCTTTCCCATCGTAATATTATCTTTCTCACAGTAATATTATCTCTTCATCGTTCTATATCTCTCACAATCATGTTATCTCTAGGAAAACTTTATATCAAAGCTAAGTGACCTCTCCCAAGTGTTAATCCTCTACCTAATACAGCATTCCTCGCTCTCTGCAACACTTACGTCTCCTTCCAACCCCTTATCTATCACTCTGACAGGTTATGTGTCTCTGTAATGCGTTGTGGCTCCTGCACATTACCTCTTCCTAGAGAAACAAAAATTCTTTACCACAACATATCCTCGTTTCTCTCTCTCTCTCTCAGGATACAATAAACTACACTCTCAGCCGTTCCTGTTTTTTTGTCTATAATTCATAAATACTGTATTTAGTAATCGAATAAGAAAAGGCGTCTGCTGATTTATAAAGTTCAATGTTATTTTACATATTGTATATAACGTTTTGACACTCCAATTAATATCTTTCTTTGTAAAAAACACAAATTTATACTAGACAATAAAACCTCATTGTTTATTGTCCTTTGAGCTAAACCTTAGAACTCATTCTGAGAAGTATGAGGTTTTCGAACAGTGATTGTATACAACATTCCTTGTATAATTATACAAAGAATATTTGCTGTTAAAATAAAGTCTGGTTCCCCATGTTGCAATGTGTATTATTGTACATGGACAAAATTTCATACTTTCCTTTTAATTTTTGATAATACTGTACCGGATTCAGACATTATTTTCTATTTTCGTATTCTCCGGTATCACGTAGCTATCAAAATCACGCATGGCTGATTATTGTGGGGGTCGCGAGTTATCTTCATTTCACAATATCAACTTCTCGGAACCGTATATATAAAGGTCTGCATCCTCAAATCTTCCACTGTCGTTCATCCTTCAAGGAAATTTTTTCACGGGGCAAAAATCGCAAAATATGGCGGGAACAGTAAATATCAGAACTTAATCGAATATATCGAGTGTTCAGCGCACTTCTGAAAGTATAACTCTCCTTGTGTGTCTGCTGACGACAGACGGATGGACGACGGAGGACTTGGTGTTCCTGTGGAAGGACGTGGAGCCGGTGCAGGTGACCAAGAACCTCCATCTGCCCCGCTTCACCCTCGAGAAGTTCATCACTGATTATTGCAACAGCAAGACTAATACTGGTAAGAATATTCTTCAATCACTTTCTTATTCGGTTTCCTCACTTTGGGGTTCAGTGAGTCGTAACTCTAACTAGGAGTCGTAAAAAAAAATTTCGTAGGATTTATATCAGAAAATTTAAATATGCATAGTGATGTCTGTTATAGTTATCAAATCTTCTCGAGTAGTTCTGGCCCTCATATTCATTAACTTATCCTGGAATGAGTAGTAATAATCTTGGATTTATTTTAAAAAATTATTTATAGGGTGAAGTATGTGTGTGAAATCTAAACATTTAGATATATGGAAGATTATATCAAAACCTTTTTCGATGTCTGAAACTCTGTTGCTTTTTTTGCACATAATTCATAAATGTTTCCAACGAGCTACTGTTTTTTCCCTTGAAAATTATTTAAAAATTATTTTTGCGGGCAAGTTAAATTATTTTCTTAAATGGCAATAGATTATTTAAATTTTGGTTATGTTTATGTAGTTCGCTTTGAGCCAAAATATTAACATTTTACCAATGAATTAAATTACCGCAGACTACTTGATCTGACGCCAAGAGTTAGGTGCTACTAGGCTTCACATTGTAAGGGTTTAAAGCAATGGGCTATTTTGTACAAGACATTAATTTGATATTTTGACATTAAATGTTCTTTTTATCTTCCCTAAATTATTTTTTTACAGCAGTTTCTCTATTTCTCCCATTCAATTTTATCTAGGTTGATTCCATTATTGGCTGCAGCGCTGAAAGCGAGTGAGAGTTGTATTAATTATTGTGACCTGTGGTATCTCGGCTGTTCATCCTGTTAGACAGTAGATGAACAACCAAAATTTGCTGATCTTGACTTACAAAATTGTGTGCATGTGTCCACGTACGAAAGAAAGCCTTCATTCATTTCCTTAATGTTTGTTTTTTGTGTTATTGTGAAATGATTGTTTTATTTTAGCAGGTTCTTTTAAATTAAAGCGAATCACTCACTCTAGTCAAACATGTATTTTATAATAAATGTTAAATTATGAGGCCAACTAACCAAATATTTTCAATTTCAGGATGTGCACTGTGGACTTATTTAATATTTGAATACTGTCATATAATTCCTAAAGTTTATTTTTATCCCTGAACTCTACTTTTTCTTCTACAAAACACAGTATATTTTCCCTTATTCTCTCTTCAAAATTCTACGTCACTGTGAACTTCAAAGTAATACAACAAAAGTGGTCTCAGTATATGTTAAGCTGCAGAAAAAAACACCTTCAGAGTGGTCAGAGAAGTTAACAGATGAAATGAATTAGGCACTGGTGTGGTGGAGGCAGATTCCATTCACAATTTCAGATGTAGATATGATAGAGCCCAGTAGGCTCAGGAATCTGTACACCAGATGTTTGACATTTGAGAGGGGGGACCAAATTGCCAGAGCTCAAGCACAACTAGGTGAGTACAACTCCTATATAACCATATAAGAAGGAAAATGACAGTGAATGACTAAGTGACCAGGTTATGAAAAAGTGGAGGCCAGTATACAGAAAATTATAACGAAATTTATGAGGAGCTCAATACCAGCTTCCATGGAGCTCGCTTTCACTACTGAGCCTGAACAGCTCCTGGAGCTAGATGAGGAAGCAGCCCCTGAAGAGAAACTTCTAAATATTGAGGTAACAGCGGAGGAAGTAAGAATACAACTAGCATAACTAGATGTAGCTAACGCTACTGGGCCTGTGAGAGTATTACCAGGGTTGTTAAGGAAGCAGCACAGGCCCTCAGAATACCTCTAGGACTAATCCTTAATGAGTGCGTTACAAGGGGGGTGTTGGCCAGCTGCTGGAAGAAGGCTAATGTGGTGCCAATCTACAAGAAAGATGATAGAGAAGAAGCATTTAACTACAGACATTGCCACTCACAATTATCCCTTGCAAAGTACTTGAAAGAATTATAAGGCTACGACTAGTTGCAGACCTAGAAAGAATTGGGTTTGTAAGTAAACAACAACATGGCTTAAGAGAAGGGGAAATCATGCCTCGGTCATGAAGGCACAAATAGGTGACACCTACCTACACTTCTTGACAATGAACATGCCAGTAGCCCTCAGCCAAGAAAGCAATTGCCTGTATCTTTCACAACCTAACACACCTAAAACACACACACACCTGTATGTGCGTGTTATTTATTTTATATGTAGGGGTATAACCTGCGGTTCTAGAAAATACCCATAGCCTCTGAAGAAACCTCATACAAAGCATTCGAGGAGATTTGTATTCTTCCCCGAGCCTACCCAATGCAGTTTCCATGTTCTTTTATCATACCGCTCCATTATTTTTATGTTATTCTACTTTAATAATTTTAAATAATATTTATATTAACTTTAATAATTTATATATCATATAACATGTGTGTTATATGATATATAATTGTGTGTGTGTGTGTGGGGGGGGATACTACCAAAAAAAAAAAAAAAAAAAAAAAAAAAAAAAAAAAAAAAAAAAAAAAAAAAAAATGAACTTCAGTACTCTTTCTTACACCTCTGATGTTAAATTTATTTTATCTTGTCCGGCCGAGTTTCTTAATTTCATTCTGTCCAAAAATTTTCTTTATTTCTTTCTTTCTTTCTGTCCAAAAGGTTCCTTATGATTTGCGTTACTCCTCTAACTCAAAGCTTTACACTACTTTCCAAACCACAGCTTAATTTAAATAGGACGGTTTCTTTTAAGTCTAATAACTTTCCTGGCTAGGCGCCTCCTTTTGACGACTGCTTACTTAATTTTAGTTAAATTTTTCAGGTTAATTGCTCTGTCCATTCTCCAGCAGCTCCCACTGGACGCCCTACTCTCTGTTTCACTACTCACAACTGCCCTTCGATTGACAGGTGTACCAGTTCTCAGTTTACGGTGCAGAATCTGACCTCTAGGATGGTCGCTCAAACGACCATGAACAGTAACAATTCTCATGTTCAGGTGAATACTCGTGTCTGCTGGTGGCGCTGATCTTCAAGAGAGAGTTCTCATACTACCTCATCCAGTACTACATTCCCTGCTGTATGTTGGTGATCGTGTCATGGGTGTCCTTCTGGCTCGACCAGAACGCCGTGCCAGCCAGAGTGGCTCTGGGAGTTACTACGCTCCTCACCATGTCCACGCAGACCTCCTCTATCAACCAGTCACTGCCTCCTGTGTCCTACACTAAGGTACCGCCCTCAGGAATACCTCTAGCAACCCATATAGTAACCTCCCCTGTTAAAGATTGGACAGGTGACTACAGTTGCCTCCGCATAGACCTGGTCTTCCAGAGAAAGTGCCAATTCTCCGTCATCTTTTACTAATATTCCCAGCTATATGTTGATGACCGTGTCTTGCGTGTCCTGGCAAGACCAGAGCGCAGACCTCGAGCAGGTATTTTTGGGGTTAAACACGCTTCTCACCATGCCCATAAACACCCATCAACCAATCGCTGCCTCCTGTGTCCTACACCAAGGTACCTTCCTCAAGCATCCCCTAGCGACCCATTTAGTAACCTCCCTTGTTAACTATTGGACAGGTGAATACAGTTGCCTTCGCGTAGACCTGGTCTTCAAGAGAGAGTTCTCGTACTACCTCATCCAGTACTACATCCCCTGCTGTATGTTGGTGATCGTGTCATGGGTGTCGTTCTGGCTCGACCAGAACGCTGTCCCTGCACGGGTGTCCCTGGGGGTAACCACGCTCCTGACGATGTCCACGCAGACCTCCAGTATAAACAATACGCTGCCGCCCGTATCCTACACCAAGGTCAATCCGTGACTGTCTCAGTGTGCCCTGCATCATGTGGAGACGTATAGCCAGGTCCTGAGGGGGTATACATACCACAGCACGCCACCACCCACGCGGCGTTGTTTGCATGTACGCCCAGTTGCGCCCACAACTCCCCACTCCCACCAGGCGCTGCCACAGCCACCTGCCCCCCCATTCCCCAAACCCTTCTGACAGTCAACCATTCCCGCCCCCTGGTGTCCCACCCCGGGCGGCACCGTAGTGTGTACCGTGCTGGGTGCTGCATTCCTAGAGTACTTGTGTGAGCGTCTAGGACTCACGGGGCTCTACTGAATCCTCAGTTACAGAATAATGTATGCTACAGGAATTACAACTTCTCTTTTGAATGCATGTGCGTTTGTAACAGTATTTATGTGGAAGTTAATGATATACAAGGTTTGGAACCCTAAAACTTTGGTTTTGTGTGTGTGTGTGTGTGTGTGTGTTTCAACGCGTATTTAGATACGGGTGATATGTGATTCAGTCAAAGTATATCTGTGATGCTTGAACATACGTATTCTGGAAATGCTGTACAGATAGATGTAGCAATACTGGTATACTTGTGACTGTTACTGTCTTGTATATGCTTGTGTACGTGTGTGTGTTGCTGTGGGTCTAGTCTCGTCTCGTGTGCACGGTAACGCTGACATAAGTAAAACATTACTAAAAATTGTATATTTGCAAATCTCTCGATACCACTTATTTTCTCCAGCACTGCTCTATCCACCAGTAGTTTTCTCTAGCACTGCTCTATCCACCAGTAGTTTCCTCTAGCACTGCTCTATCCACCAGTAGTTTCCTCTAGCACTGCTCTATCCACCAGTAGTTTCCTCTAGCACTGCTCTATCCACCAGTAGTTTCCTCTAGCACTGCTCTATCCACCAGTAGTTTCCTCTAGCACTGCTCTATCCACCAGTAGTTTCCTCTAGCACTGCTCTATCCACCAGTAGTTTCCTCTAGCACTGCTCTATCCACCAGTAGTTTCCTCTAGCACTGCTCTATCCACCAGTAGTTTCCTCTAGCACTGCTCTATCCATCAGTAGTTTTCTCCAGCACTGCTCTATCCACCAGTAGTTTCCCCCAGCACTGCTCGCTCCTCCAGTAGGTTTCTCCAGCACTGCTCTATCCACCAGTAGGTTTCTCCAGCACTGCTCTCTCCACCTGTAGTTTTCTACAGCACTGCTCTCTCCACCTGTAGTTTTCTACAGCACTGCTCTCTCCACCTGTAGTTTTCTACAGCACTGCTCTCTCCACCTGTAGTTTTCTCCAGCACTGCTCTATCCACCAGTAGTTTTCTCTAGCACTGCTCTATCCACCAGTAGTTTCCCCCAGCACTGCTCTATCCATCAGTAGTTTTCTCCAGCACTGCTCTATCCATCAGTAGTTTTCTCCAGCACTGCTCTATCCACCAGTAGTTTTCTCTAGCACTGCTCTATCCACCAGTAGTTTTCTCCAGCATTGCTCTATCCACCAGTAGCTTTCTCCAGCACTGCTCTATCCATCAGTAGTTTTCTCCAGCATTGCTCTATCCACCAGTAGTTTTCTACAGCACTGCTCTCTCCACCTGTAGTTTTCTACAGCACTGCTCTCTCCACCTGTAGTTTTCTACAGCACTGCTCTCTCCACCTGTAGTTTTCTACAGCACTGCTCTCTCCACCTGTAGTTTTCTCCAGCACTGCTCTCTCCACCAGTAGTTTCCTCCAGCACTGCTCTATCCACCAGTAGTTTTCTCTAGCACTGCTCTATCCACCAGTAGTTTCCTCCAGCACTGCTCTATCCACCAGTAGTTTCCTCCAGCACTGCTCTATCCACCAGTAGTTTCCCCCAGCACTGCTCGCTCCTCCAGTAGGTTTCTTGAGTATACAAAGTGGGCTAATCTGAATGTGACCATTTTCTTGCCGATATCAGTGATATTCAGTTAGTAAACGAGAATTCAGTGTTTGTTTGCAAAATGAATCTGCATAGTTCACTGCTATTTTGATTTGCTTTTTCACTTTGTGGTGTGACTTTGTTGTACTGTGTGACCTTGTTATGTTGTGTGACCTTGTGGTGCTGTGTGACCTTGTTGTGTTGTTTGACCTTGCTGTGTTGTGGTGTGTTGTGTGACCTTGTTGTGTTGTGGTGTGTTGTGTGACCTTGTTATGTTGTGGTGTGTTGTGTGACCTTGCTGTGTTGTGGTGTGTTGTGTGACCTTGCTGTGTTGTGGTGTGTTGTGTGACCTTGTTATGTTGTTTGACCTTGCTGTGGTGTGGTGTGTTGTGTGACCTTGCTGTGTTGTGGTGTGTTGTGTGACCTTGTTGTGTTGTGGTGTGTTGTGTGACCTTGTTGTGTTGTGGTGTGTTGTGTGACCTTGTTATGTTGTGGTGTGTTGTGTGACCTTGCTGTGTTGTGGTGTGTTGTGTGACCTTGCTGTGTTGTGGTGTGTTGTGTGACCTTGTTATGTTGTTTGACCTTGCTGTGGTGTGGTGTGTTGTGTGACCTTGCTGTGTTGTGGTGTGTTGTGTGACCTTGTTATGTTGTTTGACCTTGCTGTGGTGTGGTGTGACCTTGTTGTATTGTGTGACCGGTGTGTTGTGTTGTGTGATAGTTGTGTGTAATAGTTACATGTTGATGACACATTATCAAGACAGCCAATCAGAGCTCAGGGACGGAAAGTGTTATAATAATAACAATTAATACTTCGACATTTTAACATTTATGTCATTGATTGCTCATATCTGTATTTGATCATAATAAATTGATCAGATCACCAGTTGTAGATATTTTCATTGTTTCTTATGAATCTTTTTTGACAAGAACATTTATTGATATCATTCATTGTTCCTGTTAACACGTGTGTTTGAGTGCTTTCTGACCTTTTCGAGTCCCTTTGCTAATAACCAATTGGTTTCTGACAAGGGACTCGAGATGGTTCAAAAGCGCTTACATTCTGCATATATAATCTATATAAGAGAAAAATGTCTGCTCGAAGTTGGAGGTCAGAAGCTTGGCCCAAACTGACAGAGATAATGCTCTGGGGTGCGGGCTGAACATAGGCTAGTCGGGGACGCCAGAATTCAACAAGGAAGAGCGTGCCAGTGTCCCACTCAGACCCCTACCATGACAGCAGGCACTTACTGCATTATATTTCGAAAACTAAATATTCAAATCAATGATTTGTTCTCATAATAATATGCAACATTGTTCACCTATGCCGGGAAAATTAAGATTATTTGTGATATTCATATTTCGACTATTATACGACAACAGTCACTAGTTGAATACACCCGTCACTCCCACCACAGCCCCCCCACTCTTACCACAGCCCCCCCACTCTTACCACAGCCCCCCCCCCCACTCTTACCACAGCCCCCCCCCACTCTTACCACAGCCCCCCCCACTCTTACCACAGCCCCCCCCCACTCTTACCACAGCCCCCCCCCACTCTTACCACAGCCCCCCCCCACTCTTACCACAGCCCCCCCCCCCACTCTTACCACAGCCCCCCCCCCACTCTTACCACAGCCCCCCCCCACTCTTACCACAGCCCCCCCCCACTCTTACCACAGGCACCCCCCCTAACACTCCCGCCACAGCCCCCCCCCCCTAACACTCCCGCCACAGCCCCCCCTAACACTCCCGCCACAGCCCCCCCCCCTAACACTCCCGCCACAGCGCCCCCCCCCCACAGCCCCCCTCCCACTCCCGCCACAGCGCCCCCCCCCCCCCCCACTCCCGCCACAGCCTACCTTCCGAAGACAGACACGTTCGCCGTTCAAGGACGGGATAGACACCAGTCCTTCTAAGGTTTCCCAACGTCAAAAAAAACGGTCAAATTAAAAGGTCTTCTCCAAACCTACCAGAGGACCCAAAACAGAAAACGGTAAAGTACGTTACTTCTGCCGCTTCCATTTTCTAGTCCGACAATTTTTGCCCTTATTTAACTCATACGAACGAAAAGCGATGTTCTTTGTAACAGGACAGGTTGCGCTCACAAAGATACAAAGCAGATGGTAACTATTTTATTTTAACCAAAAATTCAAAACCGTGTTTTCTTATAATAATATTATACAGCATTATTCATCGATTTGGGGAAAATATAAATAAATTTTCTGATCTTCAGTCATCAGCAATACAGCCATAAACACAACTTCAATACTTCTTCCACTCCTCTTGACTGTCACGTTACCACAGTTGACTGCACCAACCCAAAGCTACACAGCAATAGTGTAACTAATTGGAAAATATACAATTTGAAATTTTTCTGTTTTTAGAGAGAGAGAGAGAGAGAGAGACAAGGGGATGAGATACAGAGAGAGAGAGACTGAGGAAGAGGAAGGGATGGAAGGGATAAGGAGCGAGACAGAGATAATGAGAGAGTAAGGTTTATCAGTGGTTGGATAAATGGATGAACAGATGGGGTGATGGTGTGATGTATGGATGGATAATTAATGGATAGACGGATTTACGAATAGATGGATAAATAGATGGAGAGTGGGATAGAGGGATGGATGGAGAAATATATGGTGCCTGTGTGTGTGTGTGTGTGTGTGTGTGTGTGTGTGTGTGTGTGTGTGTGTGTGTGTGTGTGTGTGTGTGTGTGCGCGCCTAGTGTCTGCAGGTACCCAGCCTCTGTAGTATGATGTGTGTTTGTGTTTTGAAAATTGTAAATGTGTATATATGTATTGCGCGTCTGTAGTATGATGCGTGCTTTAAGAACGGTACAATGTGCATATATGCATCCAATGTCTCTAGAATGATGTGTGCATGTTTTGAGAACAGTTAATGTGGATATATGTACCCCGTATCAGTGGTGTGATATATGTGAGAACTTAGCCCTGTATCAGGTGTCTGTGGCATGTGCTAGGTGCGCGGTTCCAACATGAAGTCAGCGCCGTGTGTGGTGTCAATGTGGTGTCAGGACTTGGGCCAACCACCGCTGCTGTATGCACCTGTGTCAGCATGACAGCACCTGTCACACAACCTCTCTATTCTCTCTCGCTCTATTTTTTTTAATGTAAACACACGCTCCGACTACATTTCATATATATATATATTATATATATATATTATATATTATATATATATTATATATATATTATATATATTATATATATATTATATATATATTATATATATATTATATATATATAACTTCGTGACCGCCACACAAGTGGTTTTTGTTTATCACGTTTGGTTCTTCCGCCTCGAACTTGTCTATTCTCCGTCTTTTCTTACACTTCCTGTCCACATTTCATTTCCCTCATCACGCCTTCCACCTTCCCACACTACTTCCTCCCAACTTTACCTTCTCATTAACTCTTCTTGACAACTCTCCACGTCCTCTCCTAAAAGAGCATACCTTCCCTCAAAATATTCTTTTATATATCCTCCATTAAACCCTATCCTACGTCACCCATCTTTATGTTGTCGTGAAGGTATGGTAGGTCCCAGCACCTAGACCTTCCATACCTCACTTATCCTGGCCTAATTTCATCCATCTCTACGTTACCTCTCTATAACATCACACACTGCCTTATTTCCCCAAATTCTTCCCAGCCTCCATTCCTTTACGTCCTTCCGTTACTCAATTGTTAGCCTTTCCTGGTTTTGACAGCTTCTCTCCGCCTCTCACTTACCACAGCTGGTGCTTGCCCACTTATACTGCGTTAGCAAAATTCAACTGACCTCGAAAGGCCTCTAGTAAAGCAGGTCGTCGCACCACCTCTACCACCACCACTGCAGACTCTTGTGGTGTTGAACCAGCCATTATTTTTCCGTAAGATAACAACCCGTCCTCTTAAAAATAACGTCACTTTTGGCTGGTATGCGCGCTATGGCCAAATTTGGACGTAATTTGATATGAAATCGACTCACAAAAGTGACGTTCTGTTCCGTTTTCTATTTGAGTCGTCCGGCGTACGCGCAGAGGTTATGAGAGGACACTTTAAATTAATGTTTTTCATAACGTTTTGAAACTTTATGAGAATTTCCTGCCCACCTAACCTATCAGAGGACCCTTAACTTACTGTTGAAAAAAAAATCCCAAATTTATTCTTTTTTTTTCATTTTCAAATTACGTCCAAATTCGGCCATACGGGCAAACGGCCAAAAGCGACGTTCTTTTTAAGAGGACAGGTTGAAGATAAAGTGTTTGTGTGTGTAGCTATGGAAGAGTCTTGTGTTTTTTATTTAAATTATGTTACCTTTAAGTCTGCTTCGTCTATAAGACTAGATCAAGCGACATCATATCCATATCATAAACATGATTGTCTGTAACATTATGTTTTGGCAATATCTTCATAAACATTTGATGCATCTATGTTCTGTGTTAATTCCAGTCATAGTGCACATGATGTCCTTCATTAAATGGTCAATTTTATCATCTTTTATTATGATAAACTTTCGTTTCAAACCCACAAAGGGGTGTCACGAGTGGTGTCCATACAACGCATGTTTCATCTTTTCGTTTATTCCCGAGTATCTTCTATTTTACCAGGTTTATTAAAACGTCTTGAAATCAAGACTACACCACTCAAAATATAATTGCACCCTCCTCTGTTATCACCAAGAACTCCTCTCGTATAACTGGAACTGAGTGCTAGGGGTACTCGAACTGGATAATAAGGGTGTCCAAGTCCCACATGGTTAACGATTTCAACAACTATGTAAAAAATGTTAAAACAGATATAAGGTTCCACACTCGTTGTAGGTCATAAAGTATTTTTACAATTTTAGAAACTGACATGAATCTTTATTCGCCTGACAGATTATCAGGCTTCAACTATTTAAATTGTCTCGTGCATGTAAAATTGATGGAAACTATTTACCGACCTTGTGTTCGGATTTAACTTCATCTCATTAGGTTTAGTAACTTGGATAATCCCTTGGGAACCATGCAACAACTTAGGGTGATAATTTCTTAGGCTTTTCATCTTCAATACAAGTTCATTCATCAGGTGAATGCTCTGATTTTATTTGCTTGAGTGATCGCTTTTTATCTTATTTACTTCCCTAAGATGAGTGGTTTCAAGCATATCTATAATTCTCAATACTATTGAGGCTAAACACCGGTTGTGAAGATCTCGAAAAAAGGACTTTAATGAGGAGTTTCGTCATGAATGTGAAGCCTCTGCCACCCCGCGACATCCTGCATCCACAGTGTCAACCAAGTTCTCATTCTCCTGGTGTCTGCTACTCCTCTTTCTCCACCTGCTAAAGTGACCATATTGTTCAGCAGCTATTGGAAACGGATCCAATTGGCAAAAGATTAGAAAAAATTGCTATCTCCAAACACTAATTTCTTCGGCGATGTTTTACCCTCAGCAGTGAGGGTTAATTCAGCGAGTTCGAAAGTAAACATGTAAACATTTCAAGCTCTCGAAAAGTCATACATCCTCAGCACACATTATCCTGTTCCTTCCCCAAGCAAGCCTTTTACGTTCCTTTCCGTAACATAAAATACATCTCTTGGTTCCTGTTTCACACAGAAGAAAGCAGTCCCTTCCTCTCCCTGCAGCGACAGTTCCTCTACTCACTCATCAGTGGAAAGGTTCACACACTCTCCCCGCTCCTCGTGGCATTGCTAAGTAGCAAAAGAAAAATATCCTGCCTATCCTGCTCTGCTTCTTAAATTTTTTGTGTTGTTTTGTATCGCCGGTGGCGACGTTTTTAAATTTCGGCAACTCACCCTTTGCATCGCTTTATACTTTCAATTAGTCAAGGATCTCTCCACCTACCCTACTGCTCACCACCGCCGCAGCTGTGTGCATGCCCCGCTCACCCCCACAAGAAAAAGGTCCCGCCAGCCTAGTGCGCGCAACTCACCAGCCATGATCACCCGTGCTGTAGGGCTCATTACACCGGGTTCATAGCTTTCTTAGTTGGAGTTGATATAAACAAAATTCTTGCTTCACAAAAACATGCAAAATGCTTTACAGTGGTGCATATAAACATTTACTTGTCGTCCTTCTAATAATCTAACAATATCAGTTGATATTTTAGTCGAGTCTGGAAGCACAAGACAGTGAGAGGTAGATTTTGGTGTTGTGAGTAGATGGTAAGCAAGGTGTTGACCTCTCGCGCCCTCTACCCTCAGGCCATTGACGTGTGGACCGGCGTGTGTCTCACCTTTGTCTTCGGGGCGTTACTGGAGTTCGCGCTCGTCAACTACGCCTCGCGGTCCGATAAACACCGCGAGAAGCTGAAGGAAAAGCTGAAAGAACAGAAGAAACAGTGGGAGGCTGAACACGCGGCGGCCCTGGAAGCCGCTATGCAGGATCAGACGGAAGACGGTCACACCTTCGCTATGGTAAGCAACCTAACACAACATTACGCAGGGAACTTAAAGGTGCCGGAACATCTGAGTGAAGCTCCTTCATAGCCTGGAGCTTCTTTTTGTATAATTGTAGAATAATTATATGTTGTTTAAGTAAAATTCTCTTCCTCAATCTAGTTTTACGACAAAATGTATAGAGGAAGATGTGCCATGATAGGTGTAGTGTTGTGTAGGATGCAGGTAGGGCAGACTTAGCCAGGCTTAGTCCCTCAGTGTTCTCAGCTGTACAGTGGAAGTGATGTTGTGATGTTCCGGCACCATTAGCTCTCTTACTGTGTTATATTCCTTGTTCGTTTGCCTGTTTGTCTGTATGTATCCCCCTTCACGCTCACATCTTTGAATGGATTGATAAATCTGCTTGACGAGATAGCCGAGAGAATCCCTAGTGAGTTGCGACATGCAAGCGACCATTATATAATGCCCTTCTCATCCCACTCCCTGGCCCAGTCTCGGCCACTCTTATCGCCCGCCACCGCTACCACCTTTTTAACTCCCACACTAGATTAGAATCCCATAAAAAGAGTAATAGAGAAATAAAAAGAGTGGCTAGTGAAGGGTTCAATTTTTGGTTAGAAGTCCTCTATGTAGAGCTAATTCTAAAGGGTATTTCAAATCTTGCCTTGTCCAGCCGGCCTCTCCACCCCGTCCACGGCGGTTGCTGGACCTGATTATCGCTAAGACGGTAAGTATCGTACCTGGACGAGAGCGAGATGCTAGGAGTCACATCCCGCCTCTCACCTGCCTTGCTGGGAGAGTAACACACGCCCCTCACTCACGTTTGTCTTGCTAGGAGAGAATAGCACATGCCTCTCATCCTCATCTGTCTTGCTAGGAGAGAATAGCACATGCCTCTCACCCTCATCTGCATTGCTAGGAGAGAATAGCACATGCCTCATCCTCATCTGCATTGCTAGGAGAGAGAGTAATACACGCTTCTCATCCTCACTTGTCTTGCTGGAGGAGTAACACACGCCCCTTGCTGGGAATGACACACACACACGACTCATTTTTTCTAACTGGAAGAGGGGTGACACTTAACATAATCGCTTTTAGTGTCACAATCCTATCATTCAATCTGCTTGCTGAAGGACACACACACCCTTCATTCTCAACACTTTTTCCTCGAAATAGACATGTTGTCTCCTGCACCTTCCCCCCCCCCCCCTGTCAAGAAAGTAACACGCCTCTCACCTTCCTCTTACCGGCATTCTTAAGAGTGACACATGCACGCACCTCACACTTATTATCTAGGAAAGAGTGACACATGCACGCAAATCACACTTATTATCTAGGAAAGAGTGACACATGGACGGACATCACACTTGCTTATCTAGGAAAGCGACGCATGACGCATCCCACACCTGCCTTGCTGGAGTAAAATGACATAGCGCACTTTTCCAGTTATGAAAAGCGCCACTACTTATATACATTTGGCTTATGTAACCTATCACAGTAATTTAGTTTGCTGCTTGTCTTTAATAATAGTGACAACTGGCATGCCAACAGACTCTCCGTGTTGATGGATGCGAGGAGTGTGTTATCTGATGAGTATCAGGCTACATATCCGCCCTCTCACTCGGTTGACTGTGAACCACAAGGATAAACTAAAGCCATATATATATTATATATATATATATATATATATATGTATATATATATATATATATATATATATATATATATATATATATATATATATGTGTGTATATCACGAAAATAAACACGTGATTAAAAATGTGACAGTGTCAGACCACGGAGGAAAATTGAAACGGGAATTTCTTTCAGGAAATTTCCTTCAGGAAATTCCTGTTTCAATTTTCCTCCGTAGTCTGACACTGTCATTATATATATGTGGTGATAAATTTGAGTATAATTAAAGGTTTGTATTAAATTTATTAATTTCTTGTGTGGAGAGTCGTCGTTAAGATTAACGAACTGTCTCAGGAACATGCGAGATCTGAATGGAAATTTAAAAGTATGGTCAACACTTTTAAATGGGTTTCGTATGTAAGTTTTGTTTTCTTATATTAATTTGTTCAGTGCCTGTCGACGTGATAGAAGTCACTCTTCTATAAAGCATTTTATATAATAATTTAGAACCTGTAGTTTTAACCGCACTTCTTGCATGTTAAACGTCAATATTTCTCAAACTATTTGTTATTAGTTTTCACGTTGTTTGACATTGTTGTAACCAAAACTTCGTATAGCCTGACCTCACGTTCTTTCCTGAATATGTGTTTCAGGTAACAGAAATAGCCTATTTTTATTCACATTACTAATTTTACAGTCCAGGGTGACCGAGAATTAGCTATTTCTATGAAATCGGAAGAATTCTTAAAACTCATGTTTACTGATATTTGTCGTGTTTAAAATGTTACAAATGTAACAAATTCTTCTGAAAGTTTTGAAAAGTTCTGTAAAGAGAAAAAAAATATTTCGTCTTTTTTCAGAAGCCTAATAATAAATACACAAGAACGCACCTTTGTTTCGTCATCCAGTATCAAAGGATTGAGAAATAATGAATTCAGAGAAATATTTAAAAGTAAATTTCACAGAATCGGTCATACAGACAAATCGATTCGTGATTATAAACAAATTTAAAAGAACTGTATCCGGACACAACGACGTGGTAAGCGGGCCCCTAAGGAAAAAATGTGTCAGTGTTGTGTGTTCATTATTAAGGTTAGGGTTATGAAAAGGGATATAAATATAGAACTTTATGAACTATTTTAAGACATGATAAACATCAATAAACATGATTTTTTTACAAAATAGTCCGATTTCATAGTAACAGATTGCTAATTCTGGGGCACCCTGGTTTTTAAACCCTTATTTATTCACACGTTCATATATATGCGAAAACACTCAAAAAACGCTTGACCTGAAGGATTTTCTATGCAAACACACACACACACACAAGAGTCCTAATTTGAAGCGAACATAAGAGTCACTCATACTGCGCCCAAGTAAACATAAACAAGAAACAAGTAACACTTAGGGGTTCCAGCCAGAGGTTCAGGACCCGCGCGGGAAAATCCGTGCAAAATAAATTAATATCCAACTCGTACTTAAAAGTCACATTGGGTCATAACGACAAAGAGATAAGTGTCTCTTGATACTGCACATCCTGCCACAGATGTGACAGGATGTTGTCACAGCTCGACACCATAACACCCTTTCTTCTCACTGTATCAGCACGTTCTTATATATATTCACTTTGCCTCAAAGGATACAAAGTTTCACTAAATAAAATGCATCTAGACCATTAAAAGTGTTTCACTAAAAATTAACTTTTCAGTAATTAAATTTCTATATTGAATATAAGCATAAAAATATAAAGAATAAAGGAGTTAGTTGCCCAAGTCAACTAACTGCTAAATATCAATTCTGATATTTTTATTACCACCGACTGTGAAGAAAAACATGAAAAATTGAGAAAATTCGTGTTAGAATTATTAATCCTACCTTTTCGGTCATGTTCAACAACATATGTTTACAAGAAAGACTGCTACCAATATATATATACATATATATATATATATATATATATATATATATATATATATATATATATATATATATATATATATATATATATATATATATATACACATTAAATATGACCGAAAAAGTAAGATTAATAATTCTAACACGAATTTTCTCAATCTTTCGTACATTTCTTTTCACTGTTAGAGGTAATTCAAAAATCAATTCTCCAAAATTCATTTTTATTTCTAGTCTGACGCGACACTTGAGCGCGTTTCGTAAAACTTATTACATTTTCAAAGACTTTACACATACACAACTGAATAGAACTTTTTCGGTCATATTTAATAATATATGTCTACAGGAAAGACTGCTACCAAAATATACTTATATTATATATATATATATATATATATATATATATATATATATATATATATATATATATATATATATATATATATATATATATATATATATATATATATATGTGTGTGTGTGTGTGTATCACGAAAATAAACACGTGATTAAAAATATGACAATGTCAGACCACGGAGGAAAAATTAAACAGGAATTTCCTTAAGTACTTTCGTATATTAATACATATAATACATTAATACATATAATCGTATAATAATACCACTCCACTCCTTCTGAAGATGTATTAATATACGAAAGTACTTAAGGAAATTCCTGTTTAATTTTTCCTCCGTGGTCTGACATTGTCATATATATATATATAAATAAACATATATATATATATAATATATAAGTATTTATCATTATATATGATAGAATGCCTGTCTGTCCAAACTGGATGCCATACGCTTCACCCAAATTGTCAGAATGGTCTGGGGTACGCAATGAACATTGGCTGGTAGGCAGGTCGACGGTCGCCAGAATTTGAGAGAGAACAGCGTGCCAGGATCACATTTAAACCCCCAACATGACTGTCACTGCCCACCCGCTAAACAGCTAAATATTTTGAAAACAAATATTTTAAAACATTTTTCATTTGCAATACTCACCATTATTTATTCCATTAGTAAATTCATCATTAGTAATATTCGCCATTAGTAATATTCACCATTATTCACCAATGGACAGATTCATTACTCGATGAATAGATGGATGAACAGATGGAAAGATCTATTGAAGAATGGGTAGAGATGGATGGTTGGATGGATAGTTGGACGGATAGATGGAACGATAGATGGGCGGATTGATATATTGATGAATAGACAAATGGCGAAAAAGATATATTGATTGGTAGATAGGATATGAATGGACAGACTGATAAATGGGCAGACTGATGGATGGATGGATAGATAGACGAATAGTTACATGGATCCATAGATGGATCGATATATGGATAGATGGAAAATCAGACAGACAGACCCGGGCAACCCCAAATACTTCACCTAGAATAGATTTATGAACACGAATTAAATTTCCAGTTGCAGTTATCAACACAATAGAAAAAAATTAGTGGATATAAAATATATTCGTTTCTGCTTTCTGAAAACTACCTTATGTATAAATTTTGCCTGTTTAAAAATATCATCTCACTTCTTTGCTGTCAATAATGTCTGACAATATGACTGATGTTTAAATTTTCTAGATTGTGAGTATAATGTTTTTTTCAAGATGAGGCTTATAATCTGATCTTCACGCGTTCTTCTCGTGTTGCTATACGCAGAAGCCTCTGGTGTCGCGTCACAACGGAGGAATGAGCGGCGATAAGGGTCGTCCATGTGAGATCCACCTGCAGGCGCCACGGAAGAACTGTTGCAGGACGTGGCTCTCCAAGTTCCCCACCCGCAGCAAGCGCATCGACGTCATTTCGCGCATCACCTTCCCCCTTGTCTTCGCCTTCTTCAACATGGCCTACTGGAGCACCTACCTCTTCACGGAGGAGGAAGAAGAGGATTCCCCAAAGTAAATCCGGAGGTGAGTACTATGACCAAAATGAGCAACTTCTCCGTTACTAAGGAAGAAAGCTAGAAAATCAAGAAAACGGAAGGCGAGTTCATCATAGCTTACTGTTGGAGTCCAAGATGTACACAGAATACAAGATAGATTTGAGGGATGTTTTAGCTAGAAGCAAAGCACACACTAAATAGACAGACTGTCAATATTTTCCTGATGTTCGAAATATACTGGTGAAGGGGATAAAAGTGAAACATTTCACTTGTAAAGAACAATTATAAAAAATAAATGAGATAAAGGCCGGGGATTAGGTTAATGTAAGTGTATTTAAAAATGAGACGAAGAGAAGGCGATCACGAGAAAAATTTGCTCGTATCCTATAGAGAAATAGAACCATGGAGAAATTTATCTCTTCGGCTTTCATGATCATTTTATTATTTGTTGTAACGGAAGACGGGGAAATTTAATATTAGACAAGAGAGCAACTAGACACCCAACCCACACGTCTGAAAATGTAAGAAACTGCTGCGTGTCGGTCAGTCTTTGACCATTTCCAAGTCGAGTACAGTAATAGTCCAAGATGTCGCCACTTCCTATATATTTAGATGTGAGGGGTTTGGTGCCTAATTTTCAGCCACGATATTATGACTGTCTGAAAACTATAGTGTTGAAATGCTGATACAAATTTTAAACACAAGAACGTAATAGTCTTCTCTATTTGATACCAATTGTGGTTTATGGAGAATTATTCCGGTGGTTATTTAAATAAAACTATAATAATAAAAAAAAGTTTTGTTTTGTTTTTGTATCAATTAAAACTAGTTAGATCATTAAATATTCTCATGAAGATCATATCATAGTCTTTTCTATTTGGCAGGTAGTGCTTCACTTCCGGAACTCCAAGAATGTCTGGTATGTTTGTGGCTTCCAAAATTGTTATTTAAATGAACGAAGCGACAATGACTTGGACGATGGACTACTCAAACTAAAGAGGCCAGATATCCTACAAGATTATATATATATATATATATATATATATATATATATATATATATATATATATATATATATATATATATGTCGTACCTAGTAGCCAGAACGTACTTCTCAGCCTACTATGCAAGGCCCGATTTGCCTAATAAGCCAAGTTTTCATGAATTAATTGTTTTTCGACTACCTAACCCACCTAACCTAACCTAACCTAACTTTTTCGGCTACCTAACCAAACCTAACCTATAAAGATAGGTTAGGTTAGGTTAGGTTAGGTAGGGTTGGTTAGGTTTGGTCATAAATCTACGTTAATTTTAACTCCAAAAAAAAAAAATTGACCTCATACATAATGAAATGGGTAGCTTTATCATTTCGTAAGAAAAAAATTAGAGAAAATATATTAATTCCGGAAAACTTGGCTTATTAGGCAAATTGGGCCTTGTATAGTAGGCTGAAAAGTGCGTTCTGGCTACTAGGTACGACATATATATATATATATATATATATATATATATATATATATATATATATATATATATATATATATATATATATATATATATAAATATATAAATATATATATTATAAATATATATATTATAAATATATATATTATATATACATACAATGGTGGACTGGATCTCTGAATAATTAGAAATATGGATGACTTTTCCAATGAAATATTTGGACCACGAACGATTAGAAACACAAATAACTGGTAACCTAGCCATGTTAAAACATAAATATTGAATTTAAAATAACTAGATTCCTAGAAGTCTGAAATCATGGGATGATTCATTAGATACAATTTTTCTGACGTTATATTAAAAAGGGAACTAGTTTAACTGTAAAGGTGTACTGTATATACCCCTATATATAAAAACCATAGATAGGTAAAAGATAATAGGAACTAAGAACAAAAATACAATTAAATCTCAAGCAAGCGACAAACGAAAAGACTTAAAATAATTATAAAAAATAAAGTGATATTCAACGAATCTAGAATCCCATTTCGAAGTGTTCGCCATTGTTAGGCTTTGCCTTATCATCACATGTGATCGTATGCGCCGAGTAACGAAAATATGTGAAGCGTGTATCAGAAAATATTCTTAATAATTATACTGACAATTCTATAGTATTACATGTTCTTCCATTTGAGAGTTAATTTCAAGAGATGCTCTGTATAAAAATGAAATGTAATTGTGTGTACAAATAGTTGAGTGTATTAAACAAAAAGTTTCGATTTTTTAGTGTTGCTTGTTTTATAAAATTAATAAGAGCTATGAAATTTAAAAAGGTACGTTATAATTCGTATCAGAAGACATAGATAAAAGGAATATTTAGGTGTGGATAACTTTTGTTATAAGAAAAAGCTATTGTTATAAAACTACCAATTGGGATCTTTGATAGAAGGAAAATGTGAAACTAGTGCTTTTTTCTCCGCAAACTGCTTGTTACCTAGTTGTGTACGCTTAGCTGATAGCTTGTAAGACATTTAATGATGGCAATAAGTGAACTGAGGCAGCAATTGCATTAGGAAATATGAAAAACGTGCTATAATATATGAAAGATGACTATACAAGTCATTCAATTCAAATATGGTAACTTAACGAACGTTGTTTCGTATTAGTGTAACTTTATTATTTGTGTAGGTACATCTAGTTCTGTATATCTTGTCCATCAGATCTTAGCCCATATTCAAGCTCCGTAAGACCTACCTCAGTCTGTTTCGACCCGGAGTAAATAACAAGCCTAAGGCAACAAGACTCATTCCAGTATTAGTACATTAATGGTATTTAGCGGTAGTGACTGATATATAATCACGAATGAAAATTAGCCAATGAACGAATGTTTCACTCAAATATTAAAGCTAAATGGCCTGGAAATGTTTCCGTTCGCATGTGTCGCGTACTTTTAGTCCGAATTAAGAATATCAAAAGAATAAATTCAATCTGTGGGACTTGTATTGCTATATATATATGGGCCGTTTTTATAATTTTTTTTGCACACGGATCTTTGCTTGTTCGTTAATTTGATATAAGTAGAGACATTTTGATTGATAATATAATGACGGTTAACACGGGGTAGTGTATAACTATTATTTCCTCATATTTGTATTCGCGTTCTTATTACCATTATTCACCTCATCGTCTCCCTCTTCTTGATCATATTCTTAGTACTGTTAGTATCTTCCTCTGACTCTGCTTTGTCTATTTCTTATTTCTTTCGATTTCTCTATTACTCTCTTAAAGTTATTTTCTAGCAATCTATTTGTTATAGAAGCTTGTAAAAAGTTTCCAAAATCTGTAGAGTAAAAATACTATTTTGGTATCTAGTTTGTGTCAACAGTGATCAGAATGTTATGGTGAGTGTGAGGGCAGTGACATTCTAAATACCACTTGTAGATTCGTATACACAACAGTACACACAGTTACAATGATCCAGATCTTCAGCAGTAAACCCCAGGTACAGTTAACCATTACCCTTCACCCTTCAGACACCGTAATCTGCATACGGTGAACGTAAGCATTAGTGCAAAATAAAGATATAACTAGAAAGAGTCAGGAGTAGAGCATAAGTTAGTGAAACAATATATATGATCACATTATGGATTTCTACCGTTATAGAAGCCTATTCCTGTGAGGTGCATGACTGAAGGACAAGGAATGTTAGCCCTGCTAATGAGCAGTATTGGCAGGCGAGATGTTCAGGGAACAGCTGACATGTCTAAGATCCACTCCTTCCTCTCCAACCCACTTAAGCTTCCGCATCTCATTCTCAGAACCGTTTTCTCTTGTCTACAGGTCTTATTATTAGATATTTACATTATACGAATTGATTCGTGTTCTTATCCCCCCTGCTCTCACTTCCTTCCTCTCCTCTCTCTCTCTCTCTCTCTCTCTCTCTCTCTCTCTCTTTATTACCTCATCTTGCCATCTCATTTGATACGCCCTGCCCTCACTTATCTTAGTTTCCTTATCTCCCCACCTCTCGTTTTTATCTCATTTTTCGTGTAATTCTTCCCGTTTTCTCTCACAGCAAACCCCCCCCCTCCTCCTCCCTCAAACACTCGCTCTATTGCCCTCTGAAGAAGGCGTTATTGCCTCTCCAGGTTCGCTCTTTTCCCATGAAATTGCCAGACTCTGCAGTGTATCTCGGCCCTGGACCCTCACGCATGCTCTCATATATTCTTATAGGACACAAACGTGCATTTCACTCTAGGTATATATAATAATATTGTCATAAACAGAAAGAAATTATATATATATATATATATATATATATATATATATATATATATATATATATATATATATATATATATATATATATATAATAGTGATTACTTGACTGTTATATATTCGGCTGTTCCAGCCACTTTGTGTTCACTTGTATTCTGCCGTTGAAAATGTTGAGAGTATCAACGAACTCTTAGCGTCAGGCTCATTCAACTGTGGCTCCATCATTATTGCTAAATAACAACACAGCAGTTTCCACTTATACAAATAGAATATTAAAACAAAATATTACAAAGTAAAAATAGTAAAATTAAAACGAAAACTATATATATAAACCATTAAAAGCCATATAATTTTAAAACGCAGTAAACTTGCGTGATGACACAAGCAGCTGTTATGAGGTGAACGTATTATTCAACCGAGGTTTAAGCTTAATAATGAACGATGGCTCCAAGATAATTTGGTCGATCCAATAGCAGAGCGGAGAACCGCATACTGAGTATCAGTGAGAAAATGGGTTGTCGCCGCATATCATCAAAACTTAGGGCCGTCATAATGATTAAAATTGACAAAATTTTGTATTTTCCTTAAAATCCACCTGACTGTATCTGAAGCTAGTACTCGAAAAGGGCTTCGTTCCTTTTCATTCTATATTGTAAACAATAAGTCATCGTAACCAACACACCTTACCTAACATTATCTAGACCTACCTGTGCCTAAACCCCCAATATAAAAGTTAATTTATATTTTAGAAAAAAACAAACATTATATAGTGAAAGGGTCATCTTGTCAGTTAATAAAGTGCTATAAGAGTCCAATACCGAGCTATTTAAATATACGTGTTAGTATTTGACCTACACCTTGGGTCGGAGGATGTGTTTGGTGTCTCAGTGTCCAGTGATGATCATATAATGTTCATTTTAAAATTACCTTAAAGGAAACCCAATATGCAGACCCCCGTCAAAATATTTGAAACATGCTTCCAATATATCACGGCCCATCCTCTGGGTGTGCTCGTCCAAGCAGCGGCCGGTCCCCCCAAAAAAATTACTCAATTATTGCGTATTGTGTTGAAAAAAACTATATTTCTAAAATATAAAGACATTATAATTATGTGAATAGTTACACCTATGTGATTCTTTTAACAATTATAAAAATTTGTACATGGTGATAATTTTGTAAACATATCCTCAGATTATCGTTGTCTAAACTATAGCCGACTCCAACGACGCATTCGTAAAGTTTATCGTCCTGTGTAACCAAAAGACTATTTTCTCGAATGTAAGTTATATTAGTGAATCTTATTATTTTGTGTATTTTTGCACCTAGATTTGGTTAGGTTAGGTGTTTTAGTAACAATTGTAATGTCAATAATATTCAAAACAGGAATGAAGCGTTTAGAGGTGCGCGGTTTGATCACAAGAAAACAGCGAAGACCTGCTCGATTTTTTTTAAATGTAATAAATTGAGTTACGTGTAAAGTGTTTTTCACTCACTTAACACGAGATATAGACGTGTGTGCACGCGCGTGTGCGCGCGCGTGTACGCGCGCACGGCTTATTTTTCGGGGCACGAGTTGTCACAAATGTACAGAATATTTCCACACCAATAACTACCTTCATACTGCGAGAATATCTGGAATTATCTTTAATTTGTTCAGTTAATACAGAGTGGGCGTGTTTCCTCTCTCCTATTGCGAGTGACGGCAGGTTCCTACTTAATAGAAAGTATTTGTTCTTGTTCTCTTGTTGTGTGAGAGAAAGTCCTGTCCCAACATTTATTTTTGAGAGCAGTGACGCA